AAATACCCAGGAGCTGCTCACGTTGTGTTTTGCTGGTCTTTCAGTGACAGCGAGGAGAAGGAGAGCACCAAAGAGGACAATGTTGCCCACCTCAACTTCCAGCTGAAGTATGAGGCCGACCTGCTGTTCACCAGGTGTGGGGCAGGGGGATACAGAGCGGGGCTCTGCATCGCTGCTTGGTGCCGTGCTTGGAAAATCAGCAGTGAGAAGCAAGGAGGGAGCTGTGTTGTGTTAAATGCAATTATTCATAGGGGGGAAAAAAAAACAGCTTTCTGTAGGTAATAATGTTCCTAGCATGTGTCCACAGCCTGTGCTGAGGCTGTAAAGCTGCACCTAGGCTGGCAGCTGCGTGGTTTGCAGTCACCTCTCCAAGCAAAAGAGTGTGCATGGAAAGCTTTGGGCATCTGCTAGAGCAGAGTGTGTCCTCTGTCCAAAGCAAGGAGGGAGTGAAGGCACATCTGATAATTTATTAACCTGATTGCAGGATGAAATGTGGACTCAAGCAGCACATTCTCTGGCACTGCTTGCTGTGATTCCAGGAAGGTTTTCTAGACCTTCAGTCACTTTTTTTTTTTAAACACTAGAGGCTCTGGGGCAGTGAAAATAAATCCACTTCATTACTGACAGTTAATGTGAGCATTCTCTGTCCCCCTCTGTCACCACAGGACATCCAGCCTGGACTACTACGAGATCAGATCCAACAGCTCCCTGGAGAGATATGACAGCATCGGTCCCCCCTTTCACTGCATCTTCAAGGTAAAGAATTGACTGCATCCCACCCCCGTGTCACCGCCCTGCTCACCTCCCATCCCTCATCCCTACCCTTTGTCCCTTCAGCTGCAGAACCTGGGCTTCTTCCCCGTGGAGGGGGTGACCATCAAACTCACCGTCCCCGTGGCCACCAGGGCTGGCAACCGCCTCCTGCTCCTCACCGAGTTCCTGGTGGACCAGGTAGGGAGGGGTCCATCCTGGTGAAACACCTTGGCGTTGGGTTTGGAGGTGAGGATGGAGATGCGCCATGGTGGATGGCCCCACGTCATGCATCACATCACGGTCACTCTGATGTCACCACTGCAGGCCACGGTGCAGCAGTGACAGCTCTGAGTGACAGGGCAGTGTCAGGTCCACCGTTCCCACCAGGGTGCAATGAGGTGGCACCAGCACATCTCCATCTCCATTTCCTTTTCCCACAGGAGAACACAACCTGCAACATCGGGGGGAATAACACCGACTACCGCCACACACCGAATGAGGAGGACCTGACCCGCACCCCGCTCCTGGTAGGCACTGAGCCCTGCAGAGGAACCCTGGCATGGGGAACCCTGGGGCTGTCCCTGCTCAGTGACACAGTTAGGGCACAGAGCGTGCAGGGTTGATGCTCCCGATCCACCAACTCCCCCTTTGCAGAACCACAGCAACTCCGACATCATTTCCATCGACTGCAATGTGAAATTGGCCCCCAATGAGGAGATGAACCTCCACCTGCGTGGCAATCTGTGGATGAAATCACTGAAAGCAGTAAGTCCTCTAAAGGCAAAGCCCTGGGGCCGCAGGGGACACCCCCTGGGGCGCAGCTCTCCAGCCCCATGGCCGGTGCTCAGCTCCAGCCTCTCTTTGTGCAGCTGAAGTTCAAGTCACTGAAGCTGACCACCAATGCTGCCCTCCAGCGACATTTTGGGAGCCCCTTTGTGTTCCGTGAGGAGGATCCCAGCCGCCAGGTGAGCCCTGGGCTGGGAAACGCATCAGGGTGGGACAACCCTATGAAACCCCATGGCTTTGGGATTGTTCTGATCTTGCTGAAAAAGCATGGTGGTGGCTGGCAGAAGGGCTGGAGTAACCCATGCTGGGCACACAACAGCTCCAGGCAACCCACATGGGGTACCCACTGGCTCCAGCATTCCGCAGCATCACCTCCATTGCTCATTCCTGCACCCCAAACTGGCATATCTATCTCCGTGCTCTTTGCCTTCCAGATAACGTTCGAAATCTCCAAGCCAGAGGAGTGGCAGATCCCCATCTGGATCATCCTGGGCAGCACGCTGGGGGGGCTCCTGCTGCTGGCACTCCTGGTTCTGGTGCTCTGGAAGGTGAGCAGTGCCCTGCGGGGGGAGGAGGGGAGGTGTGCTAGGGAGACTCGTGGCTCTGTGCCTACAGCACCCACCTCTCATGTGGCTGCTGAGGAAAAAAAAATGCAACTTCGCACCAAGGGTGCCTCTATTGGGCATCACAACAGCATCTCTCTCTTTTTTTTTCCCCCACATCCATTGTGTTCACGTTCCAGGCTTCAACCGCCTGACGACATCCCTTTAAAAGAGAGGCGTTCCCACGCAGCCAGCCCGAGTGATGCTGGGGTTTTTCTCTTCTCTCTGATCCCTACAGCTCGGCTTTTTTCAGAGCGGCAGCCGCCGGCGGGAGGCGGAGGAGGAGCAGCGGAGCGCAGCAGTGCTGGAGTGATGCTGGCGGGGGGTTGGGGGGCCTCTCGCTGCCTCCTGGGCGCAGCGCCCACCGCCCCTCTCGGTGCTGGGAGAGCCGGGGGTGCATCGGGACGAGGGTGCTCGCCGTGGGGGGGGTTGTGAAATCTCCTCGACAGCTCCAAAACCCGAAAGAAAACACAAAGATAGGTGGCAAAGAAGCCGCCGTACATCCACCCCCCCGTTTGGTGGCCCGAGGGGAGCGCAGCGAGAGGAACTTCAGCCTGCCTTGGGCACAGCTCACCCCTACAGCAGCACCGATGGGACAAACAGGAGCGGACCCAGCACACAACGTGGGGCTGCAGCACCTGCGTGGGCACCACCTCGATCGCATTCCTTACTTCTCAGATACGTATACCTTCCAATTTCCATCACGGAGCTGTGTCAAACCCCAGGGCCCAACCTGTCCCACCCCTTCCCCTAAAAAAGGGGCAGAAGGACCAAAGTTTGGCTCCGTCCGCAGGGCAGCGCTGGGGCAGGCAGAGGATTGGAGTTGCCTTCTCCTTGATGCACTGAACACAAGCAGTGGCAGAGCGAAGCACCTTAGGGCAGAGTGGTGGCTGGCCGTGCTCAGCACCCAGCAGAGGGTCAGTGCTGTTCGACAACGCTCTTCCTTTATGGCGTAGCAGAATCTATTTATGCTGATGTTAATGGTAACGGAGGGGAAGGAAGCTACGTCCGCCCAACGTGTAACGGCGGTTGGTAAAGAAGTTTTTGGGGTGGTTTTTGGTTGTTTTTTTTTTTAATTTTTTGTTTGTTTGTTTTTTGTTTGTTCGTTTTGTGTTTTGTTTTGTTTTAAAGGATTAAAAATAGGGTATGTGAAAACTGAAGGCCTCCTCTCCTGTTCTGTGCCACTGGGGGGAGGTGGGAGCTGCTTCTCCCCATGGATTTCCTCCCAGGCCCAGGGCTCTGCACAGCACTGGAGCTGTGTCAAGCATGGGAGCCACTGCTCACACCAGGCAGTGCCTGCAGAGGTGGGGAAGAACATATAGATACACATAAATTTCCATCCACAGACGTCTGTATGCTTACACACACACATGAATGTACATAGGCATGCACATACACTTACAGAACCACACCTGTGTACTCATAAACTACACACATGTGTACACACACACAAACACCACACATATATGTGTGTACACACAGCCCATAGACAGCTATATATGCACACACATCTATATATACACAGCCTATAAATATGTATGCCTCCATATATATATATACACACACCATTTATACACTATATACACACCCCATATGTACATAAACACACACACAGACCCCATATAGATACACACTCCTTATATGTATGTGTATACACACACACACACACATATATACACAAACACACCCCCATCTAAAGACACCCACAGATGCCTATGTACACAAAATACATACAGAAAAGCCTCCTCCAGCTCTGGGAAATGCTGCTCAGAGCAGAGACTGTGCATTATCAAGGGAGTGTACGTGCATTTCTCTGTCATATATATATATGTATAATCTACATACAGCATTTATGTATCTATTTACATATATAAAAATAGATATACATATATATGCATGCATATACCTCCATACATATACATACACACACACACTATATACTTAGGTATGCACATATACATAAGCATATATTTATATCTGTATGTCCACTCAATACCTATAATGCATTATGTATACATATGGACTATATTTATGTGTACACACATATGTGTATTTGTATATAAGCACATTCTATATATTTTATGCATTTATGTGGATATATGTATATGTGTACACATACATAATGTGTGTATACACACATACACACACACACCTAAAGTGTGTACACATGTACACACACAGAGCTGTGGGATAGACATGGTCCCCCATATCATGATCCTCCATACCAAGCACAGACTCCCCTGTGACCAAAACTTCCCAGAGCAGAAGCTGTGTGCATACGTAGCTATAGGTACACCTTCATGATGGATGTTAACACAACACACTGTAAGCATGTGCTATGTAAGTATGATCATGCATTATGCCATACATCTGTGCACACAGATTTGGACACCTGTGTATGTTTGTATACACGTGCATCCACATGCCTGTGCACACATGTGCATGGTGTGTGCATACACACATGTACCATTACACACAACACATCAACTGTGTGTAAATATATGTCTTATGTGTATGGAAGTGAGTGACAGCCTTACATACTGCGTACATCTGTATGCAAATACGCATATTAACACGTCTGCATGTTGATATCTGCATTAAAGCTGTGGTTATACAGCTGTGTGCACACATGGCTCTGTGTAGCTATGATGTGAGCAGTTACCTGTGCATAGATGAAGGTGTGCACGCCCTGTTGGCTGTAGTTTCCAGCAGAGCAAAGATGGCAGTTTGAGAAGCCCATGTATTTCTAAATTTGCCCTTGGAGGAGACACAACCACCAACGCCAGCAGTACCACCCACCTTAAGCCCTGCTCTTCCTCCTGGTGCTGCACAAAAAAAAAACCACCCTGCAGACCAACCCCACATTCAGTGTTTATTTATTTGTCATACAAATAGAAACGTGTGCCATAATCTCGCCTTGGAGTTCTACCCGGATCATTGTTTAAAAAAAAAAAACAAACCTACAGAACATTCTTTCATCATCTGAGGGTTAAAAAGCTGCTTTTAAAATGGCAGAGTTCCCAGGGGGCGGTGAGACCAGCGACGCAGTACTGCCACAGCATCTGCAGCTCCCAGCCAGGACGAGCCCCGTCTGAGGCAACAGTTCCACTGTACAATCAGCTGCTTACCATAGAAGACCTTATGATAGGAGAGTTCATCGTAAAAATCAGTTTTAAGAGAGATTTCCATAATGAAAGGAGTAAAAATGATGAAAAAATTCTCACAAAGTCCAACTGGGGGAGGCACAGACTCCTGGCTTGTTGGAGGAAGCAGTTTCAAGCAGAATCACGCTCTGAAGGAAGACTCTCTTTGGCGACGACGACCCCGTTAGGAAGATACAGCATTTGGAATCTGAGAGTGCAGCTCCACACACTTTGAGTCCGAGGAAGGTGCGTGTTGAGCGCCCAAAAACAAGTGAAAAGCAGTTTGAAATGCTGGGACACACACAGACACAGATACCCTGTCCATTCCCCAGGTACCCATGCAGGGCCTTTACATGTGAGGGACTTTTAGCTGCATAAAAGGAAACCATGCTGCTGGTTCACTTTGACCAACGTGCCAGTTCGTTCTCCAGAAGCTACTCAACACTTACCAGAGTATTGCCAATGAAGAGCTTGGTACTTCAACTGTTAACGAGAGGAACAGACCACATCTGAATTTGAACCTGTATTTCCTAACAGAGCATCCCTTACTTCTGTAGCTGTTGATAACTGCTGTTCAGAAAGTCATTAAAAAGAAAATTAAAAGCTTTTAAGATGTTACCAACATCTTCAGCATGAACTGAAAGGCATTGTAAGACTGTGAGGTATAAGAGCAATGGGCTGCTCTGTGTGCTGAGACATTAACCACGTAACGACCAGGGAATTCCATCCCCTACCTCACTTGGAGACACTTTAAAACCTTGGGAGCAGCGTGAGTGGGGCACTGGGGTGCCTTTGTATGGAACCACTCAGAGCATTCAACTGCCATCACCAGCAGAGAGATAGATTTGGAACAAAATATTCTGCACCACTTACATGGGGAATCTTTTTCTTTTGTCCCTGAAAACAAGGGAGAAAACATTATGATTATTTTTCTAATTAAAAGCAATGACCAAAATCTCAAACACCAGGTGTGACTATGGGAAAATCACGTGGCTTTTATCCCCCCCAGGATCCACATGAGAACAGAGGCTGCAGACCGAATCCAAAGGAACCAAAACGAGAGAGAAACACAACTCCATGTATACACGCATGTTCTGTCGCCTGCAATCGATGTCATCGTGGGATAGCACCACCACAAAAGGTTTTGTGTAGCCTAGTGAAACTTCACAAACTCCTCCAGAGTTCTGGGGATCTGGTTCTGATAGCTGATGTTATAGATCCGCACCGCACGGGCAGCCAGGCACTTGAGACTCAGCTTCATTTGAGTTTTAAGGAGTATTTCAGACACCCCCGTGGTACTTTTATCCAGAGGAGTTTTCTTCTGCTTATTTGTCATGTCTGTGTGGGCTCCGGCCTCCACCAGGCTAATGATGATGGAATGCAACGTCAAGAAGTCACTGATGGGCCTGTGGTATTGGACAATGAGGTGGAGAGGACTGTTCCCCTCGTTGTCCACAGCGTTCACATCAGCACCGCAGTCCAGCAGCAGCTTCGTGACGAGAGCATTCGGGAAGCTGCAGACATCATTGGTGTGGAAGTCGTCCACGGGAGTGCTGGAATTGACGGCGTGATGCAGCAGGCTGGAGCCATCCCGCGTCCTGGGGTCGAGATGAATCAGGGTGTAGATCTGCTTGTTGATGCGCGACTGATCCTCTTCGCTGCACTGGGTCTTAGTGGAGATGCAGACCAAGTAGAGGAAGGTAAAAATATTGCATTCGTAGTTGTCCATGGCTGTGTGGATGTCAGCGTCCTGGGTGGTTTTGATGCGGGACATGCCTTGTTCTATTTCCAAGACGTTGCACCTCAGAACACTCTCGATGTCCTTGGCTTTAACCGGCTCGTTTAAGTGTATCATCTGAGAAAAGACCTGGGCAAACCTCAGCAGGTCCCTGTGAGTATTCCTGTTGCCTTTTTGCCTCAGGTGCAAGGCATGGAGCCACAGCTTGATACACTGCTCGAACTCCATGCTATCCGCATAAACAGCCCCACGGTAAATAATGGGGTGAGAGACATCGATGTTGTCCGAGCCCAGAATTCTTTCACGCACAATGAGGCCTTCCATGTGGAGGGCATCTCTGTCCTGCCTGATGGACTCTAATTCCTGAGGAGTTCTGCATTCCGTCCTGTTCCCGTACGCTTCGATGGGTGGAAGAACTTCCTTCTCGATGATATCCTCGCTGTCTCTGTACCTCTCCAGCATCGCTAAGTACAGGTAGTGGTAAGTCTTCATGATGTCGTAGTTCTCCCTGTCGTTAGCAAACGAGGCTCCCAGCAGCTCCAGCGCCTCGATCCGACTTCTCCTGTTGCAGCCGGCGTGCGCCAGCAGCAGCTCCACCACATCTGCCTTGCAGCTCTCAGCTGCTACTTTCAGCGGAGTCATCCCGTGGCCGTTGACCATCATCGCCGCCTTCCACTTGACCAACTCCCTCACTATCTCCAAGTGGCCAGCCTCAGCCGCAAAGTGCAGCGCCGTGGCCCCGCAGTGGGCTTTGGCATTGGGGTCTGCATGCTGCTCGAGGAGATACCTCACCACGTCCGTGTGGCCCTTGTAGGCTGCGATCATAAGGCAGGTGTTGTCGTACTTGTTGGCGATGCTGATGTTGGCATTGTTTTCCACCAGGTACTTGACGATGTCCAACCTGCCGTCGAAACAGGCGGCCCTCAGGGGAGTCGAGTTGGTCACCGTAGTGTGATTCACATTGGCTCCGTGACTGACCAGCAACTTGACAACCTCAAAGTGCCCCGCTCCTGCCGCGCACCACAGGGCTGTGGCCCCATCGATGACAAAGCTGGAAAGAGAAAGCAAGCAACAAGCAGTTAAACGTTTGGCTGCTCTTTCAAATGCATCTTTTAAAGACAGCTGAGGAGAAAAAAAAAACCACGCACCTCACCACTTTATAGCCACCCTGTTTCTAAAGGTGAAGAGACTCAGTGGGATAGCCAAAGGAAGAGAACAAGAGACCTACCGAGGAGACCTCCTGCAGGAAGAAGAGCTGGAAGTGGAAACTTCAAAGCAGCCAAGGGTGGAGCCACGTTCTGCAGCAGCGCTTCCTGGGCTGCTTTGAAGATCCTACCTGCAAGCTGCAGCCCCGGCCTGCGGAGGTCTCCGGAAGAACAGCGGCAGGAATTCCCATTCCTTTCATCCCTCGTGCCAGAAACTCATTAAAGAAACAGATAAAGTTTTATCTTTAAGTTTACATATTGACCAAAAACAGCAACAAAACTCTGAATTCAAGCACGATTGACAGTGTAACTACAGCATATATTTGGCAGCAAGGCTGCCTGAAGAAATTCATAGCACTTCACTTGTTCCTTGCCCCTGACAGAGAACAGGGGTGCTCTCTGTCACCCCTTCTGCTGTGCCCATTCCTTGACACCACAATGCACAGCAGACCAGCAATCAGATTTAAAAACAAAACAAAACAAAACAAAACAGACTTTGAGGAATATAACAAAGTTTTAAAGAGGAAGCTATTCTAAGCCGGAGTGCTTCAGAGCTCTGCTTTGCATTACAGCCCTGCAGACAGCTTGCTGGCACTCGTAAACGTGGGGACAGTTAACTCCAGCAAAGCCTCACCGCTCCTTAAGCCATTTTCATCCCCAAATCTTCAGCACCTTCTGTGACTACAAACACAAGGGCTGATGTCCTTTCCATTCCCCTCGATCTCTGAAGCAGCATTTGAGCACAGTTGGCCCTGCAGGCGATAGACATTGGAGGCACAGCCCGGATCACAGAGCAGGGAGAAATATCTGATTATTTCCATACGTCCACACAGTCACGTTTTTCAGAATTAAAATATCAGGAGACACCGGCTCACTTTCAGCTTCAGCAGCAATTTTCATCATTCTACAAAGCTCTGCAGAAGCAGCTGGTTGCCTGTTTGTAAATCCAGCATCTCCAGACAACACTTCAGAGGCCACTTAAGAGCCCTGGCACGCAGAGATGTCTATATAACAGATGTGGCTACCTTTGTTCCCAGTAAGAAGTTCCTTATTTTGCACATACATAACCACATCAAAGTACTTTTCTATTAAAACAGAAGTAAATCAGGATGTAGGCCCTGTGAGTGAACACAAGGTAATTTACTAATGCACTACAGGCCCATATTTACGAGTCAAAAGCTTGGAGCCCAAACAAGGGGGGTTTCTGGGCCACCTTATCACAAAAATGAAAATAATGCCAAGCATGATCTGGGATCACATGCTGCCTTTCTTCTCACCAGGCTGCGACTCCTACTGAGGCCAGGGGAGAGGTGATGGCACACTGTGCCCATTGTAAGTCAAACAACACCTCCTTTAATCTGCATCAGGCAGAGGCTCTGGCAGGCAGATCAGCATCCCATCAATGCACAGCACGAGAGAAAATCCAGCAGCACAAGGGAGACAACAGCCCTTCTATCACTTTCTGTCAACACAGGCCCTTCTTTTATCTAAAATAAGGACAGACACTCACGCCAGCAGGTATTCTCAACCAGTTTTTACTTGTGAAAAGAGGGCTGAAAGAGGAATAAAAAAGCACACACACAGGGAAGCCAGTTCCTCCCCCTTCATTCAGCATTCAAGAAGCAAGTCAGCCTTCCCCTGGGTTAGGTGGAGCTGCACAGACATCTCTGCAGCTCATCAGGCAGGAGCCAGATGAGAGATACAGGGGGACGGTGACGATCCCTCTCAGTATCTGATGGGAGCTCTCCTTTCTGTGCCAGCACACAGCCAGCTACCTGCTTAACCTGGAGCTGTTCAAAGGGTAAAAGGTCCTTCACGATTCTTGGCTTTAAGAATGACATATGGGCAACTATTTGACAAGAGTTGGGAAAGACTTTAAAAACAAGAGAGGTAATGAAGCTTGTGACAACAAAGCAAAGGAACGTGGGAGCACAATGGCCTGCAGGTTGAACACGAGGACAGGCAGAACCACTTCAACACCCAACAGAACGGATGTGCTGCTCATTTGCTGTGAAGAGAACACTGCTATTAAGAGTCTAAAATCTATTTAGAAATAGGCTTTCTGCAGCCAGCCACGCCCCCCAGACGAGGAGCAAACCACAAGCATTCATCCTGCTGCCACACAGCACCATGAACCCCAGCTCCTGGGCAATGCCCTTGTTCCTCAGCACAGCCCGTCCTAAACCATCGCATTTTCCTCCCTACTACCCCGTGCCAGCTGTGAGGAAGCTGCTTCTTATCCGAGCTGGAATGGAAAAAGCCTCACCTGGAACAAGCAGGTGGCACCACCCCACTCTCATCCTACTTGCGGCCTGTCACAGAATGCTTGATGTCACAGAAAAGCTGCTTTGGTGCAGAATGCATATGGGGTCACCTGCCCACCAGGCTAATAAAAACCCTGCCTGCAATCTCAGCTTGAAGTGGTGAAGGCGCATCAGGTGGCTGGGACAGCAGTGCCATGCCCACCCCAACAGCCCAGCCACCAGCTGAGTAATGCCAAGCAGGCAGCCACAGCCTGGTGCTGGCCCTGGGCACAACATAACACGTCCAGGACAGACTATCAACACAGAATCATAGAACTGTCTGAGTTGGAAGGAATCTTTGAAGGCCATCTGCTGCCACTCCTCTGCAATGAGCAGAGACACCCTAAGCTCTATCAGTGCCCAGAGCCCCTCCAGCCTGACCTCGGGTGTCTCTAAGGAGGGGACATCCACCGCCTCTCAGGGCAGCCTGTGCCAGTGCCTCTCTAGTCTTATCGTAACAAATTTTCTTGCTTACACCCAGCCAAAATCTCTTCTCTCCTAGCTTGAGACCATTTCCCTTATCCTATCACAGAGACCACACAGAAGAGTCTGCATCCTTCCTTCTCAGATGCTGAAAGGCCTCTCTCAGCTCCCCCCAGAGCCTTCTTTTCCCCAAACTGAGCAGCCCCAGCTCTCTCTTAGGGGAGGCGTCCCATCCCCTGGGTCACTTTTGTGGCCCGAAAATGCTCCAAGAGAACCACGTGAGGCCCAAGACACCTTATGACAAAGCCAGGACAGGCTGTGCACACACCATAACCATGCCCCGGCCAAACCACCACCGGGCCCAAGGCAGGGCTCAGATACACCGCGACCAGCAGCAGCTCAGGCCCCATCCAAACACCAACCCCATGCCCGATACCAGGCCACGGGCATCGGGCGGCCGGCCCTACGTACCCATCAAAGCGCACGGTGCCGGTCTGCTGGGTCTGCACGCGGTAGTGCTCGAGGAGCAGGCGGACCACCTTGGTGTGGCCGTTGCGGGCGGCGATGATGAGCGGGGTGGAGCGCTGCCCGCCGTGCTGGCTGACGTATCCCAGCAGGTACTTGATGTCGCTCTCGGAGCGGTTGAGGAGCAACGCGGCCAAGGTCAGCACTCGCCCCTCGCTCGCCGCTTTGTACACGTACCCCGCCAGCCCCTCCATCGCCGCCTCCTCCTCCTCTCGGCTGCGGCCCCGCCGGCCCGGCCGGCCCTGCTCGGGCCTGCCCGCGGCCGCCGGGGCCGCTTCTCCCTCCGCCTCCCGCTCCGTCCTGCCTCGGGGCCCGGCGGGGGGCACATGCGGCCCTCTCGGGGCCAGCCGCCCCCCGGGCCCGGCGGCGAGGCGGGGCAGCCCCAGCGCCCACCTCCTCCTCCTCCTCCTCCTCACCCACGACCCATCCCGGCGCCGGCGCCGCCGCCCCCGGCCGGGACGCGAACCCTCAGCCCGAGGCGGCGCGGGGTGGGCTGGGAGGGGGCGCCGGGAGAGCGGACAGCCGCTACGGGTCGCCGGAAGGGCCCAACGGAGCGCGCGCCGGGCACGGGGCTCTCGCGGCCGCTCCGCCCCCGATTCCGGAAGTGAAACCGGAAGTGAGAGCCGCGCGATCTCCCTCGTTGTCCACCCGGAAACAGGGAGCCGCGCACAGACGTTCCGCGTTGCGGACTCCATCGTTCCCCCTGACCCCAGCGCCGCTGCCCGTCGCTGGGCGTCCCTCAGCCCTCTCAGCGAGGGCAACCCGGCCTTGGGGTTGGCCCCTTGGTGCTGCGTTTGGGTTGAAGTCACGCGTGGCTTAAAGTTGCCAGCAGCTTTACAAGTCCATCCCCAACAGGGCGCACACAGGTGTGTCGTCCCACTGAGCCGCCCCCCACTGTGCCCTCAGCAAGACGCCTCGAAATCCCCCGAGCTCCCCCTGCGGCCTGGGGTCCCATTGGCACGAGTGAGGGCACCACGAGCACAGTGACAGACGGCCCATGCTGATCCGCAGCCCGTCTGCTGCGCCCCATTGTCCTGAAGGGGATTCGGTATCAGCCCAATAAAGAATTAATGGAGAGCCATGCAACCGGAGCTGTGCGTAGGCTGCAGCGTGCATTATGCATGGCTGTGCGGCCCGGCCGTGCTGCGGGCAGTCACCAAAAGGAGCCCTAAGGAGAGGGGTCGGGGTGTTCAGTCAATGGGGATCAGCCTCACGCAGCCCGAGCTGTGCCCAACACGAAGAGTTCATGGTGAGTGTAAGTGGAGTTCTCCGTTACCTCCGCCATCCCCTCTGCCTTGCAGGGTGTTCGCATTCCCAACACAAGCCGTGCTCCTCAATGCACAAACAGCCACGAAGGGAGAAACCAGGTCCATTCTGCAGCCTCATCGCAGCCTCTCCTGCCGTGCTCGGTGCTGTCAGGACCACAAGTCATCATCATGCAAGCTGTGGCACAGCCTGCAAACACTTCCAGTCTCATTCTCTGCAAAGAGAGCTCTGTCGTCCCAGCCCAGCAGCACATACTGGGGCCGTGCACACAGAAGGCAGCACAGCATCAGGAGGTTTGGAACTCTGCGATCTTTAAGGTCTTTTCCAACGCAGGCAGTTCTCCTGACTCACCAGGTTACACCTTTGTGCCAATTGTGTGAGGCAGCATTTGCACTCTGTCAGCCTTTTCCCACTTCCAAATCTCATTTCCTCCACCAGGTGAGGACTCAAATCAGTGCATGTGATGGCACTTTGGGACCGATAGGGTTTTATTTCTAAAGAGCACGTAAGGAGTTAAAAACTGTCTCACCGTCCTTCCTCTATTTCAAAAATAGCAAGGATTATCTGAGCACTCTTTGGACGGGGAAATAAAACGAGCCACCTAAAATTTCTACGTGGAATACAGGGGACGATTGCAGGCTTGATGGGTTTTCTGTGCGTTATCTCTCTGCTCTGATAGCTGGAGGAGGAAGGAGAGCGATGCTGTGCCCACAGAGCAATGCCTGCTCCCGGTTTTGGGGTGGATTTCAGCCCTGGCGCTCATCCTGCAGGGCACTGCGTGCAGAGGCAGCAGCAGCGTGCTGGCCGGCTGCTTCCCGTATCAGGGTGCATAAAGATGGGGGACAGGAGGATCATGGAGGCGGTAACGATCATCGTTTGAAAGAAATAATTAAAAACAATCACGACAAAAAGCAACAAAAATAACAACGAACGCAACAATAACGAAAACGAACAGAATACAAACACGAAGAGTCGCAATAACGAAGCCCGTTACAGCCCCTCCGGCGACCCGCAGCCCCGGCTCCCCCCGGCCGCTCCCTCCGCCCGTCCCGCCGCCCGCAGCCGCGCAGCCGCCCGCCCTCCCCCAGCGCCGAGGCGGGGCCCGGGCAGAGCAGCACCGCGCCGTGCCGAGCCGAGCCGAGCCGGGCCGGGCAGGCGCATGCAGGGCTCGGCGCGGCGGCGGCCGTTCCCGGCGGCGGCTCCGGGCTCCCCGCAGCCCTCCGGGCCGATCTACGCGGGCAGGTGAGCGGCAGGGGAAGGGTGCGGGTGGGGGGGATATGGACACGGAGGCGGCCCATCGTGCCCAGTGCTCCCGGCACCATCCCTGGGATCACCCGGAGCGCCCCTGCCCGCATCTTCCTGACCCCCCGCCCCAGCCCATCGTGGCTGTATCGGATGCCCAGCTCCACGCAGCTCCCTCCCTGCACGCATCACCCTGACCGCCCCCTGGATCAATGTGGACCCCTCCGGTCCCTCGCAGCCCCCCCGGCCCAGCTCCTGCCGGGTACCACCTCCTCATCCGAGATGCTGCACTGCTCCCGGGCATCCCTGGCGGTTGGGTGCCCCCGACTTCATGGCAATTTCTTAAGGGAACTACGGCTCTCAGGCTCATCCCGACCCTCCAGGGTACCACCATCCATCCCACAGCTCCGTGCTCATCTCGGGGCTCTGCTCCCAGCACCCCAGAAGAGCACGTGGTACCTTGGCCCTAAAGCAGCTGCATTCCCTTGCCATAGGCAGGTGAAGTCCGGGGGGCTGCCTGGAGGAATGGGCTCAGTGGGGCCGTTCTGCAGGGGCAGGGAGCGGGATGAGCCTGAGAGCAAAGGATGAAGCTGACAGCGTGGCCGGACCATCCCCATGCTGGAGCACGGCAGAGCAGGGATACTTTCTTGCATTCGATACTTTTTTAGGTTGAGTACTTTCATAGCATTCGACACTTTCTTTTTCTTTTCTTTTCTTTTCTTTTCTTTTTTTTTTTTTTTTTAGCATTGGAAGCGTGGTGGGAGCTTTGTTTTGTCACACAGAAGTTGAAAATAGTTGCACTTCACTCAGCATTCGGGCTTTGCATCCTGCTTTCGTGCTCCCACCTCAGCCGGGGAGAGCCTTCATAAGAGACCTGTGGGTTTTTATTCCTGCTGCTTTAGCTTTCCGTGCTGCCTCCTCCTCTGCTCAGAGCCCCAGCTCTGTACACACACTACCGATCCCAACCCAGCAGCAAAGCACCGGCTCTGGCTGGGCACGCAGCCCTGCAGCCTCCTCCTGCCTTCCCAATCCCCGCTGATTTCTCCTTCTGTCCCTACCAGGCATGGGGCAGCAAAGAACGAGGACACCTCCAAGACCTCCCCGTTCCACCTCGACCTCTGGTTCTACTTCACACTGCAGAACTGGGTGCTGGACTTCGGCCGTCCCATCGCCATGGTGAGCTGGGGGAGGCAGAGCAGTGCTGGTGCATCCCCAGCCCCGTAGGTTTACTTTTTCATAACACCTGTGATGCTTCTGCTGCTCATCCCCGTCCCTTTGCCTGAATGTCTTGAGCATGGGGCTCTTGCTCTCCACATAGCATGTGGCAGGAGGTTTTTTCGGGGCCTTTGCCCTAAAAATGAGGTTTTTTAGTGCTGGCACCTGAACAGAACAGCGCATTTGCACAGATCACTGCTGTTGGGTTTCTCAGTGCTTTCTCAGCACTGCAGGAATGCACAGCTGAGATTCAACCGCACTGTTCCTTTAGCTCCTGTATCCCAATGGTGCCAGAGGGATGCTCCCTACAAGAGCAGCTCCCCACTGTCATTATTAACAGCAGTGTGAAGCATCGCAGAGCTGGCCACCAGACCACAGGCCAGCAGCCAAAGCTCCAAACCGAGCTCTACTCTGTTCCCATCCCAAAGCAGGTGTGGGGCTGTGAGTGCTCCCAAAGCAAGGTGTGGTAATGGCGAGCTGGGCCATAGGTGTGCACTGATGCATCTTTTCCCCCCTCTCCTCAGATAATCCTGCCGCTGGAGTGGTTTCCCCTGAACAAACCGAGTGCTGGAGATTATTTCCACATGGCTTACAATGTTATAACACCGTTTCTTCTGCTAAAGGTAAACCATTCTTAACGCTGCCAGCTGTAAAAGCGGGGCGAGTGGCACTTCTCAGGTGAAACCACTCCCCAACCACCACTGAGCCCTCCTTGTGCAGTGCAGAAGGAACTGAGGATGCTGGCTGCTCAGGATTGAGGCAGTGCCCACCTCCTTGCAGCCCACGACCACCTCCCCACCTTTCTGCACTCTGGAAACTATTTTCACTTTTCCAGCAATTCCCCACCCACCGGCCATAAGCCACAGATGTGGGGCTTTTGAGGTTTTTTCTCCTGCTTTGAGGCAGTTTGGTGGCTGTGAGCTCGTGGGAGTCAGGCTGCTTTCCCATCCGTGTGCAGTCAGCTGGAACAAACCCGGTCTGACCGCATTCTGCACCCACATGGCTCAGCCTCTGACAGAAGCTCTGATCCAAGGGGAAGGCTGCAGAAGTTGGAGCCCAGGAGAAATCCCTTCACTTGTTCTCCTGCTCCTGCATGTAAAAGCACGCCGCTTCACCCTTGAGCTCCACGTTCAGAACCAAAGCTCTTCGACCCGAAGTTCTTTGTTAAGACAACACTCACCCAGACTTTACGGGGTAGCTGGAACTGCAGCAGGTTTCCCAAGTCGTTCAGTGCTTAATTGCACTTGTTGTTCAGCATTAGAGCTGCGTCTGTGGCTCAAATTCATCCAGCCACCAGATCTTGCAGCTACGTTTTCAGGTTAAGGACTGTCCTGTCACTGGGAATCTTTTCCTATGAAACACTTGGCAGTGAGGAGATACAAAAAGCAATTATAAATATATTTTAACCTTCGTTAGCCAGGAACTGAATTACGTCCTGAGATGGAAATGATTCTCTCCTGAGTTTGGGAGTGATTGAACTCCATTGGGGCTGGAAAGCGAAGCTCAGTCCCTGTCCTGGTTGGGCTGTGGGCACTTTCACACTCAGTGTGAGCTGTGCTGAGTGGCACAGCCAGCTTCTGGGAGCTCAGTGCTCCATAGGACACAGTTTGCTGCTGTGGTCACCCCGTGTAGCCCTAAAGGACACCTCTGTCCTTCTTCCTACACCAGATGGGAGCTCTCTGAGCCCGGGGCTCCCCTCCCCGAACCCTGTGACAGTGGCAGCGGTTAGAGAGAGGGAAAGTTAAGCCTCAGAATTAAATACAAATAAGGAGCTTTTCTGCATTCGTGCAGACGAAGGGCTGCAAAGCTGCTTTGGCAGCGCGGGGCTTGCTGGGTCCCAACACCGCCGTATCTCCCCCTGGCGGGCTCTGAGACCTTCCCCATCCCCAGGCTATGAGGGACGACGCTTCCCTGCCCACAGCGGGTGGGCTGAAATGAAGGAGGGCTCATTCCGCTCCACTTCAGGAGCAGAAAGAGAGGGAGGGCTCCACTTCCATCAGGAAGAAAGGAGAACAAGCAACCCAGCAGAGCCCCCTGCAGACCCTCTGTACGGGGATGCGGCGCAGAGGAGCGGTGCGGGAGGTCCCTCTCACCGCTGGAGGGCACAGAAAGGCTGCTGGAAGCACGAGGGGAGGCGAGCCGGCAGCTGCTGCTTTGAGGCTGGTGAACGATGCTTTTGATCACGTCTGGGGAAGGAATTGCTGGGTGTCCTGGTTGGGAATCGTGGCTCAGTGTGAGCGGTGACTCAGGTGCGAGTGCCCCAAAATGTGATTTATCGTCCCAAAAAGGGTTGGAACGCATGCAGGGAACAGAAAGCTGCACAGGCTGCGCTTTTCTGCAGGTCCCTGCATGGCGTGGGGTGACTTTTGCAAAGCGGGAGAGGGATGAATTTGTCACAGCATGGCTTTGTCCCTCCTCACTGCTCAGTGTCTCCTTTGGCAGCTCATTGAGCGCTCCCCAAAGACGCTGCCACGATCCATGGTGTACGTCAGCATCATCACGTTTGTGATGGGCGCCAGCATCCACCTGGTGGGCGACTCCGTCAACCACCGCCTCATCTTCAGCGGCTACCAGCACCACCTGTCCGTCAGGGAGAACCCCATCATCAGGAACCTGAAGCCAGAGACGCTGGTAAAGCCACTTCTTTATATCAGGGCTTAAAAAACCATCATCATCGTCGTTGCTTGTTCTTATTCCGGAGCGTGCCGTGCCCTCTCTGCCCTTTTGAATCTGTTCCCTTGCATTGCAGATTGATTCCTTTGAGCTGCTGTATTACTACGACGAGTATTTGGGTCACTCGATGTGGTAAGCGCTTTGCAGGGTTGATCTGGAGGGCTCAGAACGATGCACTGAGAGGCAGAGCTGCTCCCTGCACTCCGCTGCGGTGCTTGCAGGGATCTCTCCCTCCAAACGCTGCCCATTTCTGCCAGCATTTTTTGATCCCCGTCACTTTGGGGACGTGCAGCCATGGGGAGCGGCAGAGCAGCACTGTTCCCCCCTCCTCTTTGCAGATTCACTGACAGATCTGCTCCAAAAATGTAAACCGATGACCACCACCACCCTGCTCATTTGTTCAGATGATCACACTAACGAATGGTCACAGTGAGGGAGACGGACACCAAACAGGGCTCTGAGCCCCCAACTCACCCCAGGCTGCCTCTGCCCCCAGGTACATCCCCTTCTTCCTGATCCTCTTCATATACTTCACCGGCTGCTTCACACCCGACGAGGATGAGAGCAGGATGCCAATATCTGCACTGCTGCTGACGGGGCCGAGCAGCCTCTATTACTGGTGAGTACCCCACTGGGGCTCTGGGGGTGCCAGGGCAGAGCTGCAGCTCCCGTGCCAAGCTGGAAAATCCAATCAAATCACCTTTGAGAGCTGGGATCACTTCAGCACTGCGTGTCCCTGTCCCAATTTGAGGTGTTCGGTCACCCACTGTGTCGCTCCCCCCACTGGCACAGCTGTCCCAGCCCTACCTGCTGGCATCCCGTGCTTTTCCCACTCTTCTGTTCCTTAGCAATCCCAGCACAGGGTCCATACAGCTGCAGCCCGAGCTCCCACCCCCCCCGTGCTGCGGGCAGACAGATCTGCATGGCGTTGGGATTCTCCTGGTGCCGCTTTCCCTGGAGCACAGGGATGTACACCAACACATCCTGCAGGGCTAAATGGCCTTTTGAGAGAGGTCTTATTTATTTCCCATATTCATTAGCCTCCTCTTCCCAGACAACTTCCCTAATGGCAGCCAAACAACTTCCCATTCATTGTCAGTGACTGCGCCTGTGGCTTTGACCCCTGCTGAGGCTGTTCTCATACACTAAATTAATTTTTGATCATCAAAATCATCAGGATGATTTGGTCAGTTCCCACTTACCCTGCTGCTCTGCCTTTAAATACATCAGCCGAGTCTCTGCCATTCCAAGGAAGACAATTGAAGATGCACTGAGCACAGTTCCACCCACCAGCACCGGACCAATCCTCAGCACAGCTCCCTACAGGGAGGCATCCATGGGTGCCCCCACCCTACAGGCTCCTGGGGGCTGGTACCCCAAACAATACCTGGCTTCCAACACTCCCCATGAGTTTGCTGCCTCTCTGCACTCCCCCAGATGAGTGCAGCACCCTGAGTTACACTCACAGTTCTGCGTGGTGCAGGAGAAAACAAATGGGTAACAAGCCGTGGGTAACAGTTCCTCAGGTCTCCCATGGAAGACCTGAATGGGAATCCTTCCCATTTCTCGTAGACAAGGACCAAATCCTCACTATTTGCCATTGACAAGGACCAAATCCTCACCATTTCCCATAGACACAAACAAGAGCCAGGGAAGTATGAGAGCTCTGTTCCCCACCCCCCTCCCCAACCTTTTCCTTAAGCTTTCAGGACTCCCCGCAGCCATTTCTCTGGATTTCTGGGCTGACAACAAGTGCCATGTATCCCATTTGGAGCCAAGCAGGGAGAACACCAACCCAAACAGCTGCTTTAATGGGGAAAGAACATTGTAGGGTGCTTGCAATGGGCTCCTACAGTCAGTACAAACCTTTTGGACAACACTGCATTGCCAGCACGTGTTTTGGGGTGCACGCTAGAGGTGCTTTGCTTTGCAGGTACCTCGTGACCGAGGGGCAGATCTTCATCCTCTACATCTTTACTTTCTTCGCCATGATGGCTTTGGTGATGCACCAGAAGCGCAAAGGGCTGGTGTTGGACAGCAACGGGCTCTTCCTCTTCTACTCGTTCATCATCACCTTGGTTCTGATTGCTGTGTGGGTGGTGTGGCTGTGGAACGACAAAACCCTCAGGAAGAAATACCCCGGGGTGATTTACATCCCCGAGCCGTGGGCTTTTTACACCCTGCACATGAGCAACCTCCAGGCGGCGAAGGAGAGTTTATAGGTTTTGATATTTGGGAGCGAATCAAAGGGAAAAAAAAATAAATAAAAAAAATAAAATCTAGTTTTTCTAATGTAGAGGTGTTTCAAATAAATCCTTTGCCCCACATTGGCTGCAAGGTGAATGCTGTCAGCCGGGGGGCTTTGCTGGGAGCCCACCTGCAATATTCAGCTGCTGGAGGTGGGGGCTGCAGGGGGGGATTGGC